GCGTTTTCATGATCGGGGGCCTATCGCCGATCTATTGACCACGTATCGCCTATTCGAGCTCGATGTTCCCCCCCCCACCCCCCGAGTTGGTCTCCCCTATCGTCCCCCCTCAAGGTCTCGGTGATCACCGACCGCACCGCCTGGGTCGACGGCTCCCGCGGAGGCCGAGGGCGGACGAGAAGGGCTGCGAGGTTCGAGGCTTTCGGCCGTTGTCGTCGCTCCTGGGCGGCTTTTTCCAGCCTCAGTTCTCTCCAGCGGCTGCGCCTCGCCGAGAGCGTTCCGGAGGTGCAGGGATTCTTCCGAGCGCCCCTTGGAGACCAGAGTTATTACCCGAAAGCCAGACGACGAGGATCTTGCGGGTGGGGCGAATGTGTGAGAGAGAATGTTTCATGTTTGCATCTGCCTGGCGGTGCCGCTAGGCAGGAGTGAGCATCAACCAGCATGCATCGGGCTCCGATGCTGACGGCAGCCGATAGCAGCGACGCCGATTAGGGAAATTGTAAACGAGCCTGCACTTCCAAAGAGGAGGAGGAGGAGGCGCAGCAGGAGGCACTGTGCGTGCTTTTGAAGCCGGATCCCTCATGAAAAACCAGATCCGGCTTTGAAAATTGTGTGTTTTCGAAGCCGGCTTCGGCTTAAAAAACTACGTGTTTTTGGAGCCTGATCCGGCTTAAAAAGTTTCGTGTGTTTGAAGTTGGATCCGGCTTTCAAACAAAAACACGTGTTTTTGAGCCAGGTTGGGGATTGTTCGGGTTGAGCCAGGGGGTCCAGCGACAAGGGGGTTGTGCAATGGATTTGGTGCGATAGATTTGCGGGGTTGCAATACATTTGGGGCGTGCAATGCATTAATGCGTTCTGGGGCGCAAATGTATTCACTCACGCGTGCAATGCATTATACTTGCAATACAATGCAATACAGTTCTCTGGCGCAATGCATTTGCAATACGGTGGGGGCGTTCTTTAAGGAATGTGCCTAGGAGGTTTCAGACCCTGGAGGATTCCTTATTTGATGAGAGCGGCGGTGATGTCCATGGCCAAGCCTCAATTGGAGTTCCACCGGCCTCCAGACCCTGGATTCCTTATCTAAGGGTTCCTTATCCAATGCCCCCACCGTACACTTGCCCCAAATCTACTGCACCACCCCCTTTCAGCTGGACCCCCTTTTGGATCACCCAAAGCTGTGGCCGAGTGGTGCTCAGGAGGGCTGCTGCGTGCAGCGCGGGTCTCGGCCCCGCCGCCCAACGGCGCCCTGCCTCGGCCACCGGGAGGCGGGAGGCGCCCCGCGGAGCCGGCTGCACGCGGCGCGGTCGACTGGCTGCCCCCCCACATGCTGCCATGCTCTCGCGATGCACTCGGTGTATCGCGAGGGGATGGTTACAGTGGGTCGGTATCGTTTAACCGATCCCCATCCCCATTCCCATCCCGGATCCCCTTCGACACCCCCACCAAATAACCCCTCCAGTTGGAAACCTAAACCGCCCTAAGTGGCACCTAGAACATTTGCATCTGGCACGTAGAACTCGTCCGTCTTCGGGCCAACTGGCCTCAACGTAGCGCGGCCCTGAGCCGATGAGGACTTACCTTCCCCTGGAAGGAATACTCGACGTGAGTAGCCGCATGGTATTGTTGCATTGTTTCCAGATTGGATTCGCATTGGGTCATATTGGGGCAATAGGTGTCATATTTGAATCGTTGGATGATCTCGGTGTCGATTCGGCGTCACGCGGTGCTTCTGGCACCGTCTTAGCGCCACAAGGGCTTTTCTTGGGGTCATGTCGGGGTTCGCATGGGCCACCTTGGGATCATCTTGGATTCACGGATTCGTCTGGGAACTACACTTGGGCCACGAAGTTGGGGTCATCGTAGGGCCCTGTCGGGGTCGTCTTGGGACCATCGCGGGGTCACTGTGGATCGCGATTTTGTCATGGGGTCATCTTAGTGTCGCGTTAGGGTCCAGGGGCCACCTCAGGACCGCGGCGTCGCGTGAGGGTCGCCTTGGGATCGCATTGCGATCGCGGGCCGCGACGAACTCCCTCCTGCTCACCATCCTACGCGGGATGGGGGGGGGGAGCCAACCAGCGTGATCACCGGCTGGCGGCGCGGGGTCGGTGTTCTGACCTTGGTGACAACATCGATGCTTGTGAGGGTCGCACGGCTTTTCGGCGCCCGTGGGTAGTGCCAAGATGGCCACGTGGCTAAGGGGCGGGGCGAAAGAAAAAGGGACCTAGGAAGGATGGGCAGCGAGGAGGGCGAGGAAGAGGCGGAGGAGGAGGAGGAGGAGCAACTAGGCGGAAAGGGAGGAGGAAACGGAGGACGGCAGCGCATATGGATACACTAGAAGGAGGAGGGGGTGGGGCAGGAAGTGGACCAGGAGGAGGGGCAACAGGGGAAAGAGGGGTTAGAGGAGGGAAGGATGACAACGAGGAGGACGAATAGGAAACGGAAGACTTGAAGGAGTGGAAGAGCATGAAGAGGCTGAGGACGAGGCCAAGTTGGCAAGTTGTTGCTTGTCCCCGAGGTACTCAGCGGCCTCATGAGCCCCCTCGGAGGCCCATAACTTGCCAGAAACGTAAGGCAATGTACCGACACCAAACAAAACATAACAAATCATTCGGCCCCCGATCCTCGAGCGTCGGGGCGTCGATGATGCCTCTGCCGCTGTTGCTAGATAGTGCCTCTGCCGCTGATGTCGCAGTTGTTGCAGCTGCTCTCTTCACCGCTGCTGTTTCTTATGATGCTGGCTTCGCGATCGGATGCTCCTCTTGTTGATGCTGCTGCTGATGTACCACCCTCCCGAACAAAACAACTTGATGCACGTCGGCATTGGTCCATGGGGTGTTCTTGGGATCGTTGCGACGCCGCATTGAGGTCGCTACGTTTTGGGATCACCTTGAGGTCACATTGGAACCACATGGGGGTCTTTCGGAGGCGGTGCATCGAGGGCCGAAGAACCCACATCGGGCTTCGAGGATTGACGGCTGCAGAGCAATGTACAGGATAGCATCGGGGATGGAGCATCGCGGATCGGCATCGCGGGTCGACGATCGAGGTGCAAGGATCGAACGTCGCGGATTGAACATTACGGGACGAAGATCGAGGAACGAGCGTCGCAGATCGATCATCGAGGGTCGATTGCCACCAGCCCTGTAGAACGTGAGGTGGTCCAGTTAGGGAGCTCGCCCTTCTTTCTTCTCAAACAGCCTCTCTCCCTACCTTCCCCCTAGACCTCGTTGCAAAGATCCTGCGATGCCCTGCGAAGCCCCCCCGCAAATCCCCTTCAGAGGCCACTACTATACCTTGCGAAGATCCTGCAAAGACCCTTGCAATACCCTGCGAACCAGACCCTGCAATACCTTGCGAAAACCCTTGAATGCCCTGCAATGACAGCGCAATGCCCTGCAATGGCCCTGCGATCCCACAAGCCCTCCAGGCGTGGGTCGTCGAAGGGATTTTCTCTTCCAGCCCCAGAATACAACGCATACGAGTGGCACGCCACGTGCGTGCCCAAGCCCCGAAAAAAGGGCCCCCCAAAGGGCCTCAAGAGTGACCAAGAGGACTCCAAGAAGGCCCGAGAGGCTCTGGGGGAGCCCCGAGAGGACCCCACGATGACCCCCACGAGGGCCCCAAGAGGTCCCCCCGACGGATGCTACAACTGGGGTGTGCGTTTGTGTGCGTTGTACCATCCGTTGGGGGGCCTCTTGGGGCCCTCTTGGGGGCCTTTGGAGGCGGTGGTGGAGCCCGCGGAGGGGTCCAAGAGAGCCTCGGAAAAAAAGGAGCCCAAAAGGGCCCCAATAAGACACCCGACGGACGCTAGAACCGGGGGGGTGCGTTGTGGCATCCGTTGGGTGCCCTCTTTGGAACAATCTTGGGGCCCTCTTGGAGTCCTACTGGGGCGCTCTGAAGGCGCGGGGGGGGGCCCGCAGACGGCCCCGATGGGGCCCCAAGACTGCCCCAAGAGAGCCCCAAGAAAACACCCGACGGATGCTACAACACGGGGGGCGTTGTAGCATCCGTCGGGGGCCATCTTGGAGCTTCTTGAGGCCCTCCGAAACCGCGCTGGAAGGCCCTGGAAGGCCCCGAGAGGGCCCCAAGATGACGCCAAGAGAACCTCAGGGTCCAACGGCATGTCACAAAACACCTTGTTCGTGACAGGCTATTGGCTCCTCTCGGAGCCCTGTTGAGGCCCGCTGAGCACGCGCTGGAGGGCCCTGGCCCTAAGAGAGCCCCAAGACGGCAGACAGCGGGCCCCAAGAAGGCCCCAAGGGGGCCCAAGGGACAGCCACGTGGGCCTCTCGTGCATGACAAGCTTTGTAAACGACCACTCTTGTATATGACACGTCTCGTATACGACTACTATGATAGATGGCCCCTCGGATCCAGAACAGGCCCGACCGCTGACAGATTTTGCGGATGTCTCTGCCGGAGGACCTCTGGCCAGAATCCCACCAGGCTTCTGGGCGCAGCTGGTCTACAGCGTTTGCTCTTCCCTCGTCCCTTTTCCCCTTTGTGGATGGGTTTGCCCCTCCCTCTCCCCCTCTCCCCCTGGGTCTGGACGGGGCGGCGGGGAGGCGCTGGAGCGTCCAAGATGGCCCAAGATGGTTCCAAGATGGCCTCAGAGAGCCCAGGGTGACATCCAGGGTGGGTTAAGATGGTTCAATGTTGTTTCCCATGTGCTTCGAAATGCCAAAAGATCGCCCCAAAACGGGTTCAAATGGCTTTGGGGCCTCCAGAGGACGCCCCCAACAGGCCACAACCTTTCCCAAACCTAAATGTAATCGGTGTTGTTTGATTTCTCGCCTTGTCGCTTCCGGGAAGCCTCAAGACGGTTCCAAGATGGCCCAAGGCCCAGGAGGGCTCCAAGACAGCTCCAAAAGCGTCCTAAAAGCCTAAGAGGGCCCCAGGAGGCGATTATACTGGGCTTTCGAGGTGCAGTGCAGAGTATCCCCGCTGTGTGAGCAACACATACTTTTAACACCACGTTGGCTTTAAATGATGTTTGCTTTTCGGAGGTATCTTTGGGAGGCGTTTGGCCCAAGGGGGCTCCAAGATGGCCCCAGATGCTTCAAGATGACATCAAAGATGGCGCAAGATGGCCTCCAAGAGATCAGGCCGTTCTAGGGCGGG